CATCACAGTAGAACACACCAGGGCCCCTTAATCAAGATAGATTCATGCTCCACCCCCTTCAAGAGAGACAGGATACTAAACTCCAGGGGATCATTTTGACCCTTGAAACAAAGGCAGACCTTGAGATATAAGAACACCATAAAAAAAGACTTTGGCTTTTCCTTCACCCGAGGAGACAAAGAAAACTAGTGCCTTGGACTCTGTGGGGATCCTTGCTAAGAGTTAGCTAGCTGTTGCTGGAAAAGGAAGATTGATTAGAAAACTACCTTGAACAAAAACTGTCGCTTGTTAAGATAGGTGTTCGCCATTAGAATGCATATTTTTACTTTTGTTTATTGGTAACCATTTCTATCTTTATTCCTTCTACTTGGTACCACTTAACCTATGCTCTTTTATGAATAAACTAGTTTTATTTTGATTACAAACAAACACAGTAGTTTGCTTGAAGCAAAGGGTGTATTACCCCGGTTATGTTAATAAGCTGTAGTGTACCGACTCTTTAAAAGAGCAGTGTACTTAATATGTTCTGTAATTGTTCAGCAATAGGGGCTATGCATTGCAGAGAAACATCTCTGAGGAGCTTGGGAGATGGAGTTCACTGATTATTACCTGCCAAGCAAGATTTGGGCTGGGAGAGCCTTAAGGAGTTTGGTGAGGAAGACAGAGTTGTGTGGCATTGAGCTGTCAGTGTCTAATCTCCTGCAAAGCCCTCTCTTGCTGAGGCAGAGAGCTAACACTGGCTCACAGCTCCAGTGTGTTACACCCCTACGTAGTGGGTGGGTGGTTCACCAACTGGTATGTAGGAAGAGTGGTGGTCTGAGGCCTGCACTGGAAATACACCCACATTCAGTGCCATCTGTATAGCAGTCTCTGACCTACAGGTAGAGGTTGGACAAAGATATGAACCTTAATTGTTAATCTCCTGGTCTTCTGGCATTACTCATTTTGAAGACAATCTTTATATTAATTGTTGTAAATTCCACTCTTCCTATGGGCACATCACAGGAACTGGCAGACAGAGTTCTGTAGAAGTAGAAGAAATTTGGAGTCCAGAACTGCTGTGTGGGTCTGAGTGGAAAATGGTGTCCCCAGATCGTAACTTGACCTAAGCCTGTAGTATAAATACATTGAAAACACTGACTCTTATTTTCCTCATACCCAAAGAGTGTGACAAGATCTGACATGTAGAAAGCTGGACTGAAATTTCTCCTTACTTTCCAATGCACTCTATGTTATGCCGACGTTGACACAGAAATTGAATACAGGATGTGCTGTGCCAGCACATCAGCATTCTCTCTGCAGCCAACATCAGCAGTATAGAAGCACAGGTCATGAAATACAAACTCCACTGGGCTGGCCACTATGCACATATGCCTGACACTCGCCTCCCAAAGCAAGTACTCTTCTCTCAGTTAAGTCAGGGAAGAAGGGCTCGTGGAGGGCAGCAGAAGTGTTTCAAAGACGTACTGAAAGTACATCTTGAAAAGGGAGGCATCAACTCAACAAACTGGGAGGACTTGGTGCGGAACAGAACACAGTGGTGCCCCACCATACACCAAGCCACAGCTCACTTGGAGGAGAACAGACATGCTCATGAGACAGAGAACGACAAAGGAGGAAAGAAAGGACATAACACTCCAGCCAACAACTTTGTCTCCTCCAAGATTACACCTGTCACTTCTGTGGGAAAATCTGCAGGGCAAGAATTGGGGTCCTAAGCCACTTAAACTCACCAATGAGCCCCCTTGGCAGACGACATCCTCGCACTGAAGGATAGCCGAAGAAGATGATTATGAAACTATGTGTAAGCATACTTTAACAATCTAGTGCTAGAGGCAGAGTGATCCAGTGGAGAGGACAGTGAGTTGGGACTCGACAGGTGCTTTTTCCCCATTCCTGCCATTGAGCTGCTCTCAACCCCTGAGCAAGTCACTTCATCTCTCTTCCATTCCTTGTCTTGTGTATTTAGAATGTAAGCTCTGTGAGACTGTTCCTTTTCATGACTGTGGCTTGCTGTGTATGAGCAGTGCCTAGCACAGCTGGCCCTCACTCTTGATTGAAGCTTTTAAGTGTTACTAAATCACAAATGAATGAGATGTTAGCTGAACAGAGGTGAACTAGGGGAGCTACTTTATCTTAAAGGGACAGTGTGTACTGTCATTTCACTTCTGTATAGCAGCTGGAAGGTCATTACTAATACCTGCATTTGATGCCTCATTAACTCTTTAACAAGAATTCACATCTGGGCCTTCAGGGACAGTTGTGGATGACACGTGAGGCAGGAACTGTGTGCTTGATTCTTATCTTTACCAACCAGTCACATTACCATTTGGAAGAGGATGTTGGCTTGCGCAAATGCTCGTAAAAGTTTGCTGAGGTATTGCTAAATTCCTTGGGGAGGAGAGAGAAGGGAAGCCTTCAGATAGGAGATAAATATGTCCTGTGGACTGCTCTATTACATGATGAATTCCCGAAAGGGGTCAAAAAGGGTATTTCAAATCAGTGCACTACTGTAGGCCTGTGTATAGTATAGCTTAATGTACTTGAGTACTTGGCTTTGTTTCCACATACTCCTATAATAGAGTGAAATAATTGATCTATAAGAGGTTCCTGTAAGGTGGGAAAGGGGGAAAAAAAAAAAAAGCAGTGAAACTTTAGACTGAGAGCTTGCAGCTGTTTTAAGGAGAGCTATTTAATGCACATCTAACGTCACTTGGGGCAAGACATTTTACATGGAGGCAATGGCTACATTGGAATTAGACACCTGCAACTGGGCCATTGACTCGGGCTCCCAGCGTAGAGGTGTAGACACTTAAGCTGCAGCCCAAGCTCTGGGACCCTCACACTTCACAGGGTCCTAGAGACCAGGCTCCAGACCAAGTCCAGATGTCTACACTGCAATTAAACATTCCCTTAACCTGAGACCCACGAGCCCGAGTCAGCTAGCACGGACAAGCCACCAGTGTCTAATTGCAAAGTAGGCATACTTAAAGAGGAACAAACTTGGTATGTTTGCCTATCTGGTTAGCCCAGTGCTGTAATTATGATTGAGATAAACTGATAGTATCAAGCTGCTATTTTCTGAAATGTATATTTCAGGCTAAAATGCTCATGCTTGCTCTCCCAATCAAGATGTCTGTTTACTTTTTAAATAGTTTTTGTGGGAGTTGGGGAGAAGAAATTCATTTGGCCAATTTTGAATGATCACAACAGAACGGGGAGGACACCTGGTATTTTTCAGAAGATTACAACACAGTTTTTAGTAGAGATGGGTATGAGTCTGGATTTCGGTGTGAACTTTCCCAAAGTTCAGTGATGATTGCATCTGGGGTTTTAGTTCAGCTCATTGAAGGAAAAAGTCGACAATATTCAGGTATGGATCCAAACTTCCCTGACTCTCAGGGGCCTTTTGAAGTAAATGGGAAGCAATGTTAGCTGTATTTGTTTTCAGTGAATGCACATTATGATAATCATACTTATGGCTGAGATTCCCCACATAGAAAAGTCAGGTAGGGTGGCTGTAATGACACGCTTGGAAAGATACCTACAGAGATTGAATCCGGCACAAGAGTCATTAGCTCAAAGCAGTAGAGACTTATACTATAGATCCAAAGGTCCTTTGGTTCAGTCCCCAAAATGACCTAGCTGAGGGCATCATTCATTACATGTGATGGCCTGTGAGGGGATTTGAACTGCTCTGGACAAGTGAGTGTGTAACCCATGCTACCACAGAGTGTGACTTTTTCTCCCCTTTAGCAGTGAAACTTTGTGTAAAGGTTTGAGTCTGCTACTGCCTCTAAGCTAATAGACCTGGTCCTAAGCTTGAGTATTAGAGGCTCATGCTTGTAGACATTGGGTTCAATCCCTGCAGATTACTTCAGTCATAGTTCACACAGCACCTATAATTTGGCTACATCACAGGAATATAGGCATTGCACGTAGGTCAGACGAGGTCTGTCTAGTCTCATGTGTCTTCTCTGAAGGAGACCAGTATCAGATATCTTCAAAGAAGGTGCACAAAGCTTTATAATAGGTAAGTATGGAATAAAATGCTCAAATACTTCTATATAATGGAGATTAAAGTAACACAGATTAATGTGATAATTGAGATAAACACAACATTCACAGAGACCGAGTTGTGGTTGCAATGGAATCGCAATTTTGAATTTCCTCCATTTGTGCATTTAAAATATCAGTCTCAGGCTATGTCTATACTACCGCGGTAAGTCGACCTATGTTATGCAACTCCAGCTATGTGAATAATATAGCTGGAGTCGACATATCTTAGGTTGCATTACTGCGAGGTCTGCACCGCAGGGGTCGCCGGGAGAAACTCTTGTGTCAACATACCTTACTCTTCTCATTGGGGGTAAAGTACAGGGGTTGACTGGAGAGGAGATCTGCTGTCAATTTGGTGAGTCTTCACTAGACCCGCTAAATCAACCGCCGGTGGATCAATCTCAGAGCGTTGATCCCAGCTGTAGTGTAGACATAGCCATAATGTTGCATTAAAGCAACACTCTCTTTATGTAGTCATTAATTGGTCAGTGTAGCAACTTGGCAGGGGGAGGAAATTGGCTGATGGCCATTCATGATTTCAAAGCTTTTATTAAAAGAACAGAAACATTGAGCTCTGTTAACCTCTGTATAATCACAGTGTTGCAGGAATCCATCTTTTCCAATTACAGTAGAATCTCAGAGTTTTGAACACTTTGGGAATGGAGCTTGTTTGTAATTCTGAACAAAACATTATTGTTCTTTCAAAAGTTTGACTGAATATTGACTTAATATAGCTTTGAAACTTTACTATGCAGGAGAAAAATTATGCCTTTTTTTAACCATCTCAATTTAAATGAAACAAAAGCACAGAAACAATTTCCTTGCCATGTCAAATCTTTTTTTAAACTTTCACTTTATTTTTAGTAGTTTACATTTAACACAGTACTATACTGTACAGTATTTCTTTTTTTTTTTTTTTGTCTCTGCTTCCTGATTGCGTACTTCCAGTTCCAAATGAGGTGTGTTGTTGATGAGTCAGTTTGTAACTTGGAGATTCCATTGTACCATTGTTTGTTTCCCCATAGTAACAGTGGTTTCTGGCCACTGCAGTCCAGTGATGTGTCATCAAGTACTTAACTGCACCTCCCTTCCTGCTGGCTTGAGAATTAATATACATCACTGTAATAAAGCACAAAGTTCCATGGCTGCCATGTTTGTAGGGTTCACTCTATCAAGTAGGTCTAAATGTGATTTGGAAGCACCTTGTGTGGGTCTTAGTTTCCTCTGTGGGTTGAGCATTTCCTTCTGCCCATATAGCCTTTCTTGTTGCTAATGTTCATCAAGAGAGGATAAAGGGTCCAATCCTTACTCATTTAAATAAACTCTTTATTCATGTAACTAAACAACAACCAAGGAGAAAAGGGTTTGTGTGAGGATCAAAGCAGTAATTAAGCTTTAGTTTTGCAACATATATTTCAAATCCGATCCTCAGCTGGTGTAAATCAGCATTGCTCCACTGTAGTCAATAGTGTTACATTGATTTACACCAGTTGACCAGCTGGCTTAGCTATGTAAATGTTAGTTGTAAAGAAAAAAACTCACTTGCCCATGTGTACTATAAGAACTGGTATCTAATTTTGACGGTTGCAAAAACACTTTTCTCAGTTTTTAAATTACATTCAGGTCTTTCATTTCTAAGTGTGGGGTGTTTTTGTTTTGTTTTTGTTTTTTTTGCATTATTTTTATAATGATCACAGTGTGGCTTACATAGTTTGATTAATTTAGTTAAGAAAATGCTGTGTTTTTCTCTCATTTCATTTTAAATAGCAGGATAACTTGTATTCTAATATTCCAATCCACTTTCTCATGTCAGAGGGGCATTTCATACAAAACAATACCATATACTTTTATTATTATAGGATTCTCTATTAGTATGCTGCTTCCTCCTAAAGAATCTCTGTATAGCGGCATCCAGTTCATAACACACACCTCTGCAGTACATTCATCTTTTTCTGAAAATTGCCTCCTATTGAGGAGGGAGCATACTTAACGTTTTTGGTTTCTTTTAAAGAAAATCTGTGGTGTGCATTCTTTGGGTGTCATAAGGCAACAATACTTTGTAATTTTAGGATAGGCCTCATGCTACTTGATGTGAAATTTGATAAGGGATGTTGCTTATTTGGAAAGAGACATAGGCCAGGAGTACAAAAAGTTGTGTATTTCTCTTTTCAATTTATAAAAAAAAATTTTCTATAACTTTTTTTAATTTTCATCAGTTTGTCATGACATTTTTTAACATTCTTAATACCAATTAAGTTTCTCCATTTTCTGCTGACACTGAACAGTCCTATATATAATTATATTCCTTTGAGTCTTAAAATATTTAATTCTTAGTTTCTCCTGTCTCTGTAATCCCCTTATATTCACCTCTTACACAGGGTGTATTTACAATGAACATGGGGAGGCGGGGGGAGGCCAGCATGAAAACGTTTTCCAGTTAAGGTTATTGTGTGGTGACTTCCTCAAGCTATATTGTTACTTCTGGGACAAGCCAATGCATTTAAAGGAAACCAATAGCTCTTCCTGCTAAGGCTAATGGAAGTGGCATGTCTGACTGGCTGCTCAGTTTAGCACTGAGTGGAAAGAGGTCTCCATTACAATTATAACAGGCAAATACAATACAGTCCTGTTCTCCAGAAGGAGGCAGCATGCCTTCTGGTGCTGGCATGGTCTGTTTGTGATTAAACAGGATGCAGCCTTTAATCATTATGACCATATCAGATTGCAGTTCACCACATAACCCAAACGATACAGTTTGCTAGGGAAGCTGTTCAGTGCAGGTGCCTTTGAATGTAGGCATACCACATTGTGTCTCAGGTAATCATGCAGAAGGAACAGGCAGGTAGTGGTACCATGCATATTATTTCTGGAGCTGTTGCATTGTCCCATTGGGAATACAAAGTGGGAGGCTCATAAAGCCCTCTTGCAGGTTCTTTTAGCCTGAGCCGTAAAAGGTAACGGTTATATGAATTAGTGGAGTCTCAACATGCGAACATCACTTGCTTTCGGGTTTTCCAAACACATTAGTGTCTCTCTCTTCTGGTTGCACTCATGTAAATTTTGGGGAGGAATTAATGGAATGCAGTCAGGTTAGGCAGATTTTTTTTTTTTTTTTAAAACCAAGTGTCCTTACCTATGGTATAAAGAGTGGCTTACATTAAAAATGAAAGAAATATTACATCATTGTTTTTCACCACTTTTACTGTATATATTCTTTTGGCATTTCTTTTCAGTGAGGAAAAGAGACTGCTTTTTAAATATCTAGTCAATTTGAAGGTTTTATGTACTATGCACAAAGCTGCAACATTTAGGTTGCAATTGTTTAAAAGGATTTTTCTTTTTCTCCCTTTTTTTTTTTTTTTTTTTGTATGCATGAAAACCATTTCTATTGGTCTCAATTTGAAGCCAGTCGAAGCCAGTTCTGACCTGACAATGTCCATTTAAAGAAGAATTGGTAAAGATCACTGAGTTTGGGGTGGGGGACATGCTAAGAAATTAAAATAAACTCTGGACCACAGTTCTGGTCCCTGAGACATGTACTGTAAGATGACAAGCCAAGAGTCTGGGAATCCAAGAAATCTAAATAAAAAGTGGGTGGTTGTGCTCTGAGCAGTGTTTTCAGAGTGGCAGAGGTGGAATGATTATTCTGCATTAGTTTAAATCACAATTAAATCCAGTGTAAACAGTGCAGGTGCTAAGATGCTTTAGTTTAAAATACTGTTGCTACAGCACAGTTCTTGTGATGAATCCCTAAAGCACAATATAACATGCTGTGCATGAGAAGCCAGATCATAATGCTGCCTTCTCTTGTCTCCCAAAAAGAAATTATTTGTAGCATTTCATTATATCAAGACTTGAGGATTTATTAGGAATACATACGATACATGGAAATGATGGCATGTCGGCAAACTAACGTGGACCGTGAAAGGAAGCTTCCACTGCCCGCATTGTTCCTGTTCTACAGATTCATGGAAAACTGTGGTCTCTGTCTGCCAATCCTGCACATCTTACCTGTGCTGAATTCATTCCAGAGGAGAAATAATTTTCATTTTTCTCTCTCTAATCACACCTCCAAGATACTTACACTATTGCACATTCAGATAATGGGCGATAATCTGATTCTTTTAATCTCTCTGTTTTTATACTGGTTTAGATATACTTTTTAGAAACATAGGACTTGAAGGGACTTCCTAGGTTATCAAGGCAATCCCCTGCTATTGCACCCATTAATAAAGTTAAACCACCACACAAAAACCCAAACCACAAATTGTAGTATTACAGACTTCCCTGGGCTTTTATTCCCCCGCCACCCCCCCACCCACCCCCGGTTCCATAATCAAACTATCGCTCTCTTCCCATAGCCAGTCTCTGTTCCAGACGGCTTTCTATACCAATCCCTAGTCTCTGTTCTGCTCTCTATCCCCAATGCTTGTCTCCTAGCTGAATTGAACTATCACTTCCCCATAGTCACTGAAGGGTCTGGTTGAGCGCCACTTGGGAGCAAGACAAGAAACTAGCTGCAGTGAAATTGTGTTCTTGGTTTGAGGTTTCAGAAGATGTGGAGAGAGGGGGAATGAATGGCTAGGAAATGGAACAGCTACTGTTCCTCCCTTGTTCAAACTAATTTCTATTCAGTTTTGATTAAGCTGAGGAGGACAACCTACTTTTACACAAAAGCAATGAGTATTTTGTAAAATCAGGTGTGGTGATAAAGGCTAGTTTAAAAAAAAAAAACAAAAAAAACTTGAAAATGCTGATTCCCACTTCCTGGAGTGTTTTGTTTTAAAGCACTAATGAAGCATTTTAAATATCAGCTCCATGTGGGAGGAGATGTTGAATGCGGTGTTGGCCAATAAGTATTGCATTCTTAGAGAAGCATTTCATGAGGCATGAAAACATAATCTCATGTGGGCATACCCTGATACCCTGGGCTTTTGCTCATAATAATGTAGGTAACGTAATGAACTACAAAAACTTATTATTGCAGCGTTAAGGTTGCACAGTCAAAATCATCAACCAGGAAATACAAACATTAAGGGTCCAATAACACCATTAGTTTGACCACAGTACACATTTTGTTTGTTCTGTGGTGTACACTTTAGAAGACCAGTTTTTCAAACTCTGGTCTATGGTCCACTAATGGATGGTGAAATTATTTGTAGATAACTGGCTGATCTCATGGTGCTGGCTCCAGCTGCTCAGGGGCATTAAATATTGCCTTGATACTTATATCTTCCTGTGAACACTTACTGTAGTTGCCACAGGGTCCCTGTGTAATCACAAATAGGGGTCTATTATCCAAGCAGTCGTGGGTGGGTCTGCAAAGCAATCTGTTTTGTCAACTTTCATTACTTTATTGTAAATCTTATTTGTCTTCTCTTAAAGAGCCAGCTCTAAGAGTCATGTCATTATGTGACAATCTCCGCTTTCATTTCAAACAAAAGAGTAAATTTCTAGCTCTCATAGTTAAGGCTTAGATTTTGTCATGGATATTTTTAGTAAAAATCACAGACTGGTCACATGTGATAAACAAAAATTCATGGGAGCCCCTGACCATTCCGTGATTTTTACTAAAAATATCCCTGACAAAACGGGGAGGGAGGAGAGTCCAGCACCTACAGCAGCTGGGCTGCTGCAGGGTCCCTCTGCCTTCCCTCTGCTGCCCACCACAGATGGGCAGCTGTGGGGAGCCCAGCTGCCCACAGCGAGTGGGAGCTTTGGGGGACCCCCAGGGAGCTCCGGGGTCCCCTGCTGCCCAGTGGCTAGAAACTGCTGGGGGCTTCTGGTAGCAGCAGCTGAGAGCTACAGGGCTACTTGCTGACAGCAGTCTGACCCCAGGGCAGAAAATGTCATGGAGGTCTCTGGAAGGCATGGATTCCGTGACCTCTGTGACATAATCGTAACCCTACTCATAGTTGCAGAAAAATGCTTGAAAACATGAATCCTAAAACCTCCAAAACCAGATGGCAAATACATTTAAAAATTTATATATATTTTTTCTGAAAGCTCATAATTTTTATGCCAATCTCATGACTTTTTAGGGCCTGATTTATGATTTTTGAATACTTGGGATCTGCAACACTGTCATCTCTCCATTAAGATAAGTCCACACTGTGAAAATGTTTGAGAGCTTCTGTTTTAGGACTTGAACAATAATAAATTACGCTACACAGTGTGACCAGAAAAACACAAACTGGAACTACCACGTATGTACCGTGTGGTCAAGTTAACATTGCTGTTGAAACCCTAACTTCTGCATGTCTTGGGCTATAAGTTTTTACACACAGCTCTGGGTTGAGTGATGCAGCGCATTGCCATCTTAGGAGGAGCCCCAGGAGAGAGTGCTCTGAAACCTCTGGGTTGGATTGTTCTTTGCCAAGTTCCAGTGAGGCTTGCCTTTGTGTTATAATATAAATGAGGAGAAAGTAGCATTGGCTCTTTTATGTAGCTGGATGGGTGAAAATCAACCAGCGAGACTTGCTGAGCAGTGCCATCAAATACTGTGTTCTTCTTTGAGTGATGTCCCCAGGGGTGCTCCACTGCAGGTCTGGCAATGCCTTTCTGGCTGGAGTCTGAGATTTCCAGTAGCAGTGCCCGTTGGACCGCACATGCACACCTCCCCTCCCTCCGCGCTGTGCGCAGGTAGTATAAATAGCGCTGAGTAGTCCCACCACCCTCAGTTCCTTCTCTACCACCTGCAGTGTGGAACGGAGCAGTTAGCAGAGCCCACTTTGTTATTTAGATAGACTCTTACCTGTTTTCCTCCTCTCGTAGTTAGTTAGCCGCTTCATTTTCTTTTCTTCACCTTCATCCTTTTAAAAAAAAAAATTAGGTTTTTTTTGTTTTCCCTAATTCCCATCAGGGAAGCTACTCCCTCACCCTTATGCCTGGCTCCTCCGGGTTTAAGAAGTGTGTGTTGTTCTCTATAATGGATGGCCACACACGGTGTATCCATTGACTGGGAGAGGGACATGTTTCCCAGAAGTGTTCCTGCTTTCTGGGCTTAAAGTCAAGAGCAAGGAAAGACGGGGACCTTAAACTCAAACTATTCCTTATGGAAAGTCCCTGCGACCAGCGTCGGACCCTGGTGCTTACTCGTCACCGGAGAGACCCTCACGCTCAAAAGGTCATCTGCTGACCCTCCCTCCCCTTGTCCAAGTAAGGGAAGATCATCCTCTGACCAGGCTGATGCCAAGAAGAGAGCGGTCCCTCCCTCAGCTCCTGAGGCGCAAACTGCAGGAATGCCGTCTCTGGCTAGAGCAGTGGTGCTAACGGCTTCTGACAAGAGACATGAGGCTGCTCCTAGACCAGTGGTTCTCAACCTATTTACCATTGTGGGCTGCACCCAATGCTACCTGTATGGCCCTGAGGATGTCACATGGGCCACAGCTCTGTGCTGATTGGGCCCTAAGTGGCCTATAGGCCATCGGTTGAGAACTACTGTCCTAGACTGACACAACCTCAGCCCCTGAAAGTAAGTCTAAGGACTGTGCCAGGGCGAAGCAGCAGTTATCGCACCACCTCCTGTTGTGGGTGACCGAAGTGAGCCCTTTATCTCCTCGGCAGCTCCGGGTCCATTTCTGGCACCAAGGATGCAGTTGGTACTGGCAAAACAGCTGGCTCCAGTGAAGCGCTCGGCCCCGATGCTGCACACAGCACTGAAGCGCTCAGCTCCGAGAGAGACTCTCCAGCAGGATTACAAACTCCTACTAAAGGTACGGCTCCGAAAAGCTCTCTGGCACCATCTGCTGACTTTCCCATATCACAGCTTGGCACTGTGCTCAACACAGGCACTGAAGAGAGATCACCCACAGGAATTCACACAGCTGTACCTGACACTCCGGATTCTCCACTCCTCAGATAGGAGGTGTCCCAAGTCTCACCCACTTCTCAATCAACACGCTCTTCGTGCTCTCCCACAGGGACAGCACCTCCTTTCCTTAGTCCCTTGTCCTCATCGACATCACTATCCACTCTCTTGCCCCATCAACATCAGGACAATTGACATCAACTTACCAGCCTTACCCTGCTGCACTTAAGGGCACCCAGTCTTTTCAGGGCTCACCATGGATGCAACCATATATTCCCCCCCACACACACCATTGGCCATATTGGGGCCCCTGGGCCATGTATAGGGCACAATTTGGTAATCCCCCATCGCTGCAAACACACCGGTCTCCATCAATCCCCTCCTCAACAATCTCTCGACCTCCAGAACCACAGCCACCACTGGGGGAGGAACTGGAAGGAGAGCAGGATGAAGAGGTATCTCCAGTCCTCCCATTTCCTTCATCTTCACCTGATGAAGTAGTCATGCCGCCACCTCCCACAGTGGCTGATGATTTTTGTCACTTTCAGGAGTTGTTCCTTGACCACCTCAAGTGAAATGTTTAGGGAGTCAGCCACTCTAAGAAACAACAACACAAACTGATTGACATTCTCCATACCTCCTCAACAACAAAAATTGCCCTAACTATTAACAGTATACTACTTGAACCTGCAAACCTTCTTTGTCAGACTCCAGCCTCTGTCTTCCCCTACGTGCAAATGGGCAGATAGGAAATATTATGTACCTGCAAAAAATGCGGAGTTTTTATTTTCACATCCTGCCCTGAATTCCCTCATGGTGGATGCAGTGTGAGAGAAGGGCCATCAATGCCAATCCCAATCCGAAGATGCTCCACACGTGGGGCACCATTTAGTCTAGGGCCGGCCCTGGTGTCATCAATATGGTACTCTAAGAGTAGCTGCCCTCTGAGTCCGTGTCAGAACTGAGTACAGGGGGTGAGCTCAAATAGAAATTGAGTGGAATAATTCCCAAACTTTCACTTACTAATTGGCTTTCAAGGCACATGCCACAGAGTAGCTGCTCCTTCACAAAATGTGTGCAGTATATTACACACATAGGAATTCTATATTGTTAGGGGCATGGAGAAGGAGTTAGAAAGGTCAAGCTAAATAAAAAGGTCAACATTACTTTATCTGCTAAAATCAAGAGGGAGTGGTGGGGATACTGCTTCAGATCAAACCGCTTTGAACGTCTTCTACAGAATCAGAGAAAGGAGGCTGTAATGCCACAGAAGCAGCACTTCACCATCCTACCCTCCCACCACTTGGATCTTCTGGGTTTTCTTTTCCGTTCTGCCCACAGATGATGGGTCCCAAGTAACTTGTTTTCAATGTCCCATGTAAAATTTTAAATAAAACTTGGGTGGGGGAAGGGTGGAATCTACAGAGAACAAACTCTAGAATTGTACGTGGGTATTTCTCTGAAAGTAACCATGTTATTCTCAGTATTTCATGAGGTGTCACTATCTCTTATGGAAAGAGACAAGTAAAACAAAGATGACCACTTGAAAGAGGAACTCCTTAATTAATTTTCTCTTCAGTTACCACTTGTGCCCCTTTCTGTGCTACCTACTTTTAGGCCTTAAGATCAACTCTGTTTCTTTGCGCATATTTTTCTGCACATCCTATTTAGCAGTCCCTTTGGAGTGTGGACCTCAGACAATGCCTATTTATCTCATTTCAAAGGTCTTCATTGCTGACCCAGTGTGTATTACTTCTAGGAATCCAGTTTATGTTTTTAGAGTAAAAATATGAGCCACCAGCTTGAAGCAGTCACAGTATCAACAAGAATCTTAACCTCACACACGGAGAGAGAACAGTTTTCTGTCTGTTTTTAAAACTGGTTCTCAAAAAAATAAGAGCCCAAAATATGAAACCGGGTCAGCTCCTCAGCTGGTGTAAGTCCATTGGCGTCAGTAGAGCTATGCTGATTTATCCTGGTTGAAGATCAGGACCAGATTCTCTGTTATATTGGGTCCCATGTACCACTCAGAATCCATTCCTTTTATGCTGTCTGACTGTGGCTGGGTGGCTGTTTCCCCACCCAGCAGGATCCCTGGGCTACTCTCCTGGAAGGTAGGTTGGTGGGCTTCCCTAGCAGCTTCCCTAGCATTCAGAGACTTTTTCAGTATGTCTACACTGCACACTCTATACGGCGGCATGTAGAGTATGTATGCTACACACCCCTAGCATGGGTATGAATACCAGGGTACACAGTGAGACACTGCTTAGGCGAGTAAAGACATGCCTGAACTCTGTGGATATGTACTCTACATGGCTCTGTACATGTCCAAGCAGTGCTTTCCCCATCTATACTGCTGTTTTTAGTAGTGTCATGTGCTGCTGCTGGAGCCTTTCCCCACACAGCCTGCTTTCCACTGCGGCGTACAGCTACATGTAGCCTATAAGTCACCACCAATGATGTGCAATGTAGTTGTAGCCTTTCTCTCCATTCTGCTATGGAACAAAATCTTTTTCAAAAATCTCCGACGTTTTCGTGGAACAGAAATCCCATTCCAGCTCAGCTCTAATTATTAATGTACATAAGAACAACCTTAGAGCCTGAAACCCAGGGCTGCCTTCATATTCTTATTGCTGATCCTATGGTGTGGAATCTCCTTCCCTGTTTTCTGTGCCATGTATTCATATCCTGAGGAATTAACATAGTACTAGGCTTTATGAATGGCTCTTGCTACAGCATTGTCTGCTAGTTTTGCCTTGTTTTTTAATTTTTGTTGCAGTGTAAGTGTGTGGTAACTTCTGCCTTAGCAACAAACCCATGGAAAAACCAAATTAAAACTGTCCTCTTTCTGGGTGCCTTCTTAGCACTCATGTTAGATTAAATGAAGCCCTATGTAAAGGAAAGAAGTGTTGCTGAGTTTTAGAACAGGCCATGTGTTTGCAAAATCTGCAATTATAACATTTTTAAAAGTTGAATACGCTACTAAGATGGATTGCATACTCCTCATTTTCCCCTTTCATTATTGAAAACAATTTCATATGGTTAACCTAATACGTAAGTATTTCTGTGACTTATCAAGCATGTCTCATGGAACAGAAGTCTTTAATAAAGGTAATCTACACATACAATACAGTTCTAAATTATTTTAATAGGACCATCTTTTTAAAATGCATTTCTTTGAAATAGGAAATAGCAAGCATAAATAGACTGATTTCCCCCCACCCCTTTAAAAAAATTAAGTGAAATTAGTTCTGGGTAAAGCTGTCCTGGAGACTTTTAAAAAATGTAGGAATGTGAGCTGGGTAGGATTGAAATACTACAGGTCAAGGGGCCAAGAATCTTTATACAAATTAGTTACTACCCTTTGGATCAGTGCAATGAAGTGCTAGAGAAAACGGAAATAGCATCTGTCTGTCATGAATGTCATGCTTGTCACTATACTATCAGAATTTTGCAAAGATTATCACGAGCATAGTGTAAAGATCCTCTTGTGTTCTGATTTCCTTCCTCCTTCCCCAGAGACAAAGGGATTTCTTTTCTTTTCTTCTTTTTTCTACCTTTTCTCCTTCCTTCCTTCCTTTGCTGTTCATGTCAGGGTGGAGGTGGGAACGTTTTAGATTAGGAACCACAGTGAAAGCTGGAAATTTGAATTTTGCAAAGATCAGTTGGAGTATTCAGGCACTGAGTGGAAAAAAGCACAAGGGTTTTACAGAAGCTGTTTGTTGGAAGAGGATGTTTATAACAATATGTGTTAGAGACAACTATGAGGAATAATATTTCAGGTTTAATTTTGTCCAATGAAGAAAGAGTAAGTGAAGTAGATATTAGGTTAATCTGAGATCACCGCATAGTAAACGTCTAAGTTTCAGTCATTGGAGGAATTTTAGATACAAATACAAGCATATTGAATTTGAGAGAGGTTCAGTTTTATAAAATGTTGAATATACTTTGGGCTCAATTGTGTAGTCCTATTTACATAGTCAGTGCTATTTATTTTACTGTAATTTAGTGTAATAAAAAACATGTATCTATATCTGTCTATCTATCTATCTCTATATATACACATGCGCGTGCACACACGGGGTGTGTGTGTGTGTGTGTGTATATATATATATAACCAATTATTTAAAATTACAGACTCCAATGTGCAGTTGTCAGTTCGCCTCTGTCACCAAACAGTGGCTCTCTGAAATCAGACTGACTGCTTGATTCAGTAAAAACTGCAGGATTCAGCCCTGAATGAATTTGATTGGTTATATTTATTAACAGGTGTGGTATTCTTTATATGAACACCGGCTAAAGGATGAAGAGTTTTTGGAGTTGGCTCAGGGGACATGTATATCACTTACACAAAATGAAATATCAAATTTTAAAATAATCCATAGACTCATAGAATATCAGGGTTGGAAGGGACCTCAGGAGGGCATCTAGTCCAACCCCCTGTAAGTTTTTAAGTTGTGAGCACAACTTGAACTCTAAAAGCATTACAGGGACACTGACTGCAGCACTGGTATAATTTTATAAGATAATATGTAGAGGGCCTGATTCTCTGTTGCCTTACATACTTTATAGTCACTTACTCTAGTGCACAGTGGGTGCAAAATGCTCCAAAATCCTATTACGCTTGCTTTGTACTGGTGTAAGTGATTGACTGTGCAGGGGAAGAACAACAGAGAATAAAGCCTAGGGAACGTAAAGGGTTTCCAAAGAACAAAAGGAAAAATGAAGATCAGAGATGGGTATTTCAGTAGAAAATTTCAACTTTTTGGTTTAAAGAAATCAAAATTTGGCATATTTCTATTCTGAAATGCTACCATGATGCCTCATGGGAGTTGTAGTTTGGATGCTTCATACACCCATTT